GACTGTTGTGTGAGACCATAGAAGAGGATAGTGGTGTTGGTCAGGACAGTTGTGTGAGACCATAGTAGAGGATAGTGGTGTTAGTCAGGACACTTGTGTGAGACCATAGTAGAGGATAGTGGTGTTAGTCAGGACAGTTGTGTGAGACCATAGTAGAGGATAGTGGTGTTGTTAGTCAGGACAGTTGTGTGAGACCACAGAAAAGGATAGTGGTGTTAGTCAGGACAGTTGTGTGAGACCATAGTAGAGGATAGTGGTGTTAGTCAGGACAGTTGTGTGAGACCATAGTAGAGGATAGTGGTGTTAGTCAGGACAGTTGTGTGAGACCATAGTAGAGGATAGTGGTGTTAGTCAGGACAGTTGTGTGAGACCATAGAAGAGGACAGTGGTGTTAGTCAGGACAGTTGTGTGAGACCATAGTAGAGGATAGTGGTGTTGTTAGGACTGCTGTGTAAGACCGTAGTATAGGATAGTGGTGTTAGTCAGGACAGTTGTGTGAGACCATAGTAGAGGATAGTGGTGTTGTTAGTCAGGACAGTTGTGTGAGACCATTGAAGAGGATAGTGGTGTTAGTCAGGACAGTTGTGTGAGACCATAGTAGAGGATAGTGGTGTTAGTCAGGACAGTTGTGTGAGACCATAGTAGAGGATAGTGGTGTTAGTCAGGACAGTTGTGTGAGACCATAGTAGATTATAGTGGTGTTAGTCAGGACAGTTGTGTGAGACCATAGTAGAGGATAGTGGTGTTAGTCAGGACAGTTGTGTGAGACCATAGAAGAGGATAGTGGTGTTAGTCAGGACAGTTATGTGAGACCATAGTAGAGGATAGTGGTGTTAGTCAGGACAGTTGTGTGAGACCATAGAAGAGGATAGTGGTGTTGTTAGGACAGTTGTGTGAGACCATAGAAGAGGACAGTGGTGTTAGTCAGGACAGTTGTGTGAGACCATAGAAGAGGATAGTGGTGTTGTTAGGACAGTTGTGTGAGACCATAGAAGAGGATAGTGGTGTTGTTAGGACAGTTGTGTGAGACCGTAGAATATGAGAGTTATGTTAGACCGTAGAGTAGGAGACTTGTGTTAAACTTTGGACAGGACATGTACTGTATTTGATGCTAGAGATTTACGGTGTTTGTGTAGTCATGTGTTTATTGGGATTTATTGATAATTCTTGTGTTAGCCGGTGCTTGGCTGGGGGTGTCGAGTTAAGCAGCAATCCATTTGTGTGTCAAACATTACTTTGAGCGAAGTGGTTCTCCAAGGGTTTTGTTTGGTTATGTGACGAGGTCTGTCTGCTCACACCAGCCGTGAGGTAGCTCAACAGACAAGAGGCGTTGGAAAGAACTTGTAAGAGAGACTCTTTGGTTCCGACACTGATACTAACCGTACGGTACTGTAGATGTACGACGGTTGCTGATAACTCGGATCACTGTTGCCCAGGTGAACTGTCATCCTGGACCTGTGGCACTGGGACATCTGACAGGACCTGTGGCACTGGGACATCTGACAGGACCTGTGGCACTGGGACATCTGACAGGACCTGTGGTACTGGGACATCTGACAGGACCTGTGGCACTGGGACATCTGACAGCACCTGTGGCACTGGGACATCTGACAGCACCTGTGGCACTGGGACATCTGACAGGACCTGTGGCACTGGGACATCTGACAGGACCTGTGGCACTGGGACATCTGACAGGACCTGTGGCACTGGGACATCTGACAGGACCTGTGGTACTGGGACATCTGACATGACCTGTGGCACTGGGACATCTGACAGCACCTGTGGCACTGGGACATCTGACAGCACCTGTGGCACTGGGACATCTGACAGGACCTGTGGCACTGGGATATCTGACAGCACCTGTGATACTGGGACAGCTGACAGGACCTGTGGCACTGGGACATCTGACAGGACCTGTGGCACTCTGACATCTGACAGCACCTGTGGCACTGTGACATCTGACAGGACCTGTGGCACTGGGACATCTGACAGAACCTGTGCCACTGGCACATTTAACAGGGCCTGTGGCACTGGGACATCTGACAGGACCTGTGGCACTGGTACATCCGACAGGACCTGTTGCACTGGGACATCTGACAGCACCTGTGGCACTGGGACATCTGACAGAACCTGTGGCACTGGGACATCTGACAGGACCTGTGGCACTGGGACATCTGACAGGACCTGTGGCACTGGGACATCTGACAGAACCTGTGATACTGGGACATCTGACAGCACCTGTGGCACTGGGACATCTGACAGAACCTGTAGCACTGGGACATCTGACAAAACCTGTGGCACTGGGACATCTGACAGGACCTGTGGCACTGGGACATCTGACAGGACCTGTGGCACTGGGACATCTGACAGGACCTGTGCCACTGGCACATTTAACAGGACCTGTGGCACTGGGACATCTGACAGGACCTGTGGCACTGGTACATCCGACAGGACCTGTGACACTGGGACAGAGAAAGGGGGAGGAGACAGAGGAAAGTAACGAACATGTTATTTGTTACTATATATCGCAGTCAACTATAACCATACATATATTTATTGACATACACATACATGCGTGCACACACATACACACACGCACACACAAAGGTAAAAACACACACACACAACACACACACACACACACAAACGCCCACGCACAACATACACACACACACTTTCCTACCTCTGTTCACGAACACGAACAGTATTCATACATCAGTTCCTACCTGCTCAAGCAGATCTACACCAACACACATACGCCACTGTGTACACACACACTCACACACACCTGTCTCAACGAACACTTACGCAAGCCTATAGCACTCATACACTACTTACACACATTCGTGCGCATACACATTCGTGCGCACACACATTCGTGCGCACACACATCCAAGCACAGATTTGTAATTGTCTGTTATAACCACTAATGTGAATTAGCTGAACATCTCTTTGAACGACAAAAGCGCATCATTTACCCGCTCCATTTTCCCTGCATCTCATGATTTCCCCAATCTCTTTTTATTCATAGAAAATTGAAAGCTTGTAATGCGTGATGGGTGAAGCGACAACATCAAAGCTTGCACGTATAAACTTCACCATTTGAGCGAGATCACTTCTAGCGGCGCGCCGCGTTCACGACCAGACAGAAGAATAGGCTGGTGAACAACAACGAGCAAGCGGTGGTTGTTTTGTGTACATGGTGTAGACTAGAGAGTCGATGATAACTACTGTAGTATACAGGGGGAGGGGGGATGGGGGGGGGGGGGGGCACTGCATGGTCTTGAGGCATGGCGACCGCTTCGAGTGCTAGAGGTTCCAGGTTCAATCCCCGGTAAGGGCTGAGATTTTTCACGTAGACTTGGACATCAAGTAATTCCCCCTGGTCTCTGGGTAGTAAGATCGGACGCCCGTGTGCAATGTTGTGCACGTAAAGAAATCCCTTGGCAGTTGGAAATCCAGGTAACATTTGGAGTTGAAATCCACCAACAAATATTTTAGGATCCCCGCTGGTGCTACAGAGCCTGTGCACTGTACTGAGCTTTTAGGGCTCAGACTGGAGTTAGAAGAAGAACGAAGCACTTATAGGCACCCATGTGCCATGATGTTGATCCTTTGTTCAAAAGCCTTAAAGCCTAAAAAACTGTAGTATGCTGGGCGCGTGGTGGGCATGCACCATTCAGGAGACAACCCGCTTTTGTCCAGGATGTATGTATTGATGGTGTTAACGTGTCATTGCTTGATCTGGTTATGATACAGAGGGATCATCTTCGTGATGGATTAGCGATTGTAATGCTCACCGTATCAAAGAGTCAGCTGATGCAAGCTGGAGGCATACAGAATGAAACTTTTCGGGTTTTCCTAGGATGTAAAAATTATACCACAGTACGATGTGCAACACAAGCCTGCAATGCCAACTACTGCATACTTGTTCGGATCGTTGCAAGCGAGGCCATATCTCAGAGCAGTCGCAGACTAACGATCATAACCCTGGATACAGCTAACGACCACAACCCTGGATACAGCTAACGACCACAACCCTGGATACAGCTAACGACCACAACCCTGGATACAGCTAACGACCACAACCCTGGATACAGCTAACGACCACAGACTTAGATGGCGCAAGCGGACGATACAATTACATATGCTATAAAATGACGTATTGTGAGGGAGACGAAGTGCATGGGGGTCCGTTGAACTGGAGGTAGAGGCAGTCACAACAGCTTTCCACTGACCTGAGAACCAGCCGCACAAACGTGTTCTGATTGTAAGTGACTCACAGAGTATGTTTGTAAAGGTGGAGACAGGCATGCTTCTTACAGAGTGGCAAGCATGGCTTCACAGGTCTCGGGTAGTTAGCGTCCTTTAGATTTGTTTAAATAAGGATAATCCCATGTGTTGGGAAGTGAACATGCAGATAGAATGGCCGGTTCTGCAATACCAGGGAGCAGTGGCGGGGTTAAGGGGGGGGGGGGGGGTGGAGCTTCAGAAAAGGAAGTTTTTGTCCATGTTCTAATTTTGAATAAAACAATACAAACATACAAACAAAATGTATACAAAATCTTGAAAAATCTTAAATAAAAAAAAGTTAATCAATGAGTAAATAAATAAAGAAATGTTTTCCCAGTGTTGTATGCCCTCAGCCGTTACAGTTCAAGCGTGAACCAGTCCTGATTTCTCGTTAACTTTGCAGGAATAGATGAATGAAACAGGGTCGCCGGTACTGCGTGTGCGACACTGCTTCCTCAACTTTATGTGCTCACAACAGCCGGTCAACAAGTGGCTGTACCTGTGTAGTGCTCACAACAGCCGGTCAACGAGTGGCTGCACCTGTGTAGTGCTCACAACAACCGGTCAACCAGTGGCTGCAACTGTGTAGTGCTCACAACAGCCGGTCAACAAGTGGCTGCACCTGTGTAGTGCTCACAACAGCCGGTCAACTAGTGGCTGCAACTGTGTAGTGCTCACAACAGCCGGTCAACAAGTGGCTGCACCTGTGTACTGCTCACAACAGCCGGTCAACAAGTGGCTGCAACTGTGTAGTGCTCACAACAACCGGTCAACAAGTGGCTGCACCTGTGTAGTGCTCACAACAGCCGGTCAACTAGTGGCTGCAACTGTGTAGTGCTCACAACAGCCGGTCAACAAGTGGCTGCACCTGTGTACTGCTCACAACAGCCGGTCAACTAGTGGCTGCAACTGTGTAGTGCTCTTCTTTCTCCCCCTCCTCTATTTCTTCTGTCTTTGTTTTAAAACGGCAGATGACACTTGTGATTTACACCTAGGCGGCGATTTCAGGAAGATTCTAATTGGTCGCATATTAGGTCATATTTGTTGAGTGACAGTGAATTTATTAAACTCCACCCCCTGAACGTGCCACAGAAGCTACAGGGAAAACATTCAGTGTGCTGCTGCTGGTGTGTTTGTGTGTGTGTGTGTCACTGATCACTAATCCCACATTGCACACTGTGATTTAAGATGTGTTTTTGCCCTGCACAATTACAGTCTATAGGATTAACACCTCAAAGATGAGAATCCCACAGCTACAAATCTCGAACACCCTACTCAGCTGTGTAGCCGTTTAGCACAGTTATACTGGGGCACCACAAAACGGTTGCAGAGCCACCTGCAGGTCAGAATGGAGGGGTTTGATTTCTTGTACACAGTGCTGAAACAACTGTGGACCTAATACCACCACAAAACGGACGGACATGCACACACACACACATGCACAAAAAAATACGCATTAAAACACATACACACACACAAAAACCTCGCGAGCGCCCGCGCGCACCCCCACCCACACACATTTCCCCTCTTGTGAGTTTCAAATTGTGACAGAAACTCTCAAACCGAAACAATTTTTCAGCTTATTTAAAATAAGGATGCTTGCAATTGCTGCCTTCCTACTGCTAGAGACGGACAAGATTTAGTAGCGAAACAAAACCGCAGACTGAGGCCTGGCCTCTAATCGAGGGCGACTTCTGCTGATTGTCATGACCTTGTTGAAGCCACTTCTGCCCTGGGAGAACAACAGCCTGGGGTCTGTTTCTGTAGACCGCCACATCCCAGACACCCACATTGCTGTTTTTTGTTTCGTGTTATAAACCTCATTATTGTTAGCGTAAGTGCAAGTTTTTATGTTGTCTGAGTGTATCGAGTGATGCGAAGTTGAAGGCTGGATAGTTCCTTCATTCAAACACTGACTGTGATTGATTTGTTTACTCGTCCATTCGATCATTGGTGAGCTGGTGGACTCGACCATTGACTGATTTGTACACTCGATCATTGGTTAATTTGTTTAATTTATTTAGTCCCTCGATCAATTTTTTTTATTTGTTAACATAATCATTGACTGATTCGATCATTGTTTGCCTCTCTTGTTCACGGAATGTGTTGGTTCTGTCACTCACTGACTTCATCGTTAATTGGTTCTGTCACTCACTGACTTCATCGTTAATTGGTTCTGTCACTCACTGACTTCATCGTTAATTGGTTCTGTCACTCACTGACTTCATCGTTAATTGGTTCTGTCCCTGACTAAATCAATCGTCTATTTATTCTTACTATACGGATATTTTATTATCACTAACTCATCACACATTTACTCAACCATTTATTTTTTCTCTTAATCACTGACTCGATCAATTCAATCACTAATGAAATCAATAATTGGTTGTCTCATGCAGAAAGTAGATCATAGATTGATTCTCTCAGTCAGAAACTTGATGATTGATTAATTCTTTCACTCTCTAACTCGACTATTGATTGATTAACGAAATCGCTCACTCAGTCATAGTTTAGTCCCGTCTCACAGCTGGTTCAATTCAATCATTGATTGGTCCTTCTCACAGCTGGTTCGATTCAATCATTGATTGGTCCTTTTCACAGATGGTTTAATTCAATCATTGATTGAACATTCTCACAGGTGTGCCGTGCCGCTAAGCTTAGCTGGTAATGATTCACCATTCTATACTGCCAGCAGAATCTGAGATACCTATCCATCAATCTGTCTACTTACCTGCCTACCCACTATCCATCAATCTGTCTACTTACCTACCTACCCACTATTTATCAATCTGTCTACTTACCTGCCTACCCACTATCCATCAATCTGTCTACTTACCTACCTACCCACTATCCATCAATCTGTCTACTTACCTACCTACCCACTATCCATCAATATGTCTACTTACCTATCTACCCACTATCTATCAATCTGTCTACTTACCTGCCTACCCACTATCCATCAATCTATCTACTTACCTACCTACCCACTATCTATCAATCTCTCTACTCACCTACCTACTTACCTACCCACTATCTATCAGTCTCTCTACTTACCTACCTACCTACCTATCCACTAACTATCAATTTCTCTACTCACCTACCTACCCACTATCTATCAATCTCTCTACTTACCTACCTACCTACCTACCTACCCACTATCTATTAACTGTCTACTTACCTACCTACCTACCCACTATCTATCAATCT